AAAACTTAGTATTACATTCCCCCATTATTAAAACTCATCCCCATTGTTCATAACCCCCCTAAAAAAATCAACTTTCTAAACCCTACAACACTTCCAATTCTTTATCTCAATTATTTTTATAATACGCCGTAAAATTAAGATTCTCTATTAATCGAAATATCAAATGGGATATGTAAAATATCGTCTGATTTAACAATTGTTGAAGAATGAAATCTCAATTTCAATATAAGTTTCCATATAAAATTGCTTAACTAAATTTTTCCAGTTAAGCATTTCTATTAGTGATCAATAATGGTCCTTACATTTATTTTAAATTCTTTCTCATCGTTGCTAATTCTAAATATAAATATATATAAATTCTTAGATTATTTAATTAAAAAGAAATGATAATTGTTATTCTTAGAATTAAAGACAAAGATTATTCAACAAAAAGCCACTAAACTATTTAAAAATATTAACCTCTACAATCATAGAATTCTTTAATTGTTAAGGAATCTGATCTTGAAATGGAATTATTTCTTAAGAAGGTTTACTCAAAATATCTTCTGAACTTAATTTGCAAAGTTGGCGATACTTTTAATTTTTCAGGTATTTAAGCTATTCATATTTGTTTTAAGTTAAGTTGATTGCTTAGACATTTATTGAAATATTTATACAATACTATTGACGAAATAAGCAAAGGTTGGAGTTAATATTAATGCCATTATAATACAGAATAGCCTTTCAGTCAAATTAAAAGGAGTAATATCCCAATTCATCTCCACAATTTCTACGAATGATAATCCTAACGAAACATAAAAAATAACAATCAACAAAAAATATATATTCCAAACAATTATAATTATGACATCCGGCTCCAATAAAATTACTACAGGATTCGTTTATATAATTTCTTCGAAAATCTATTTTAATGGATGTAACTACATAGTAAGAATTTGAATGTTTTATCTTATTTTCTCATATAAGATTAAGGATTAACATGTTAAAAATAGCCTCTAAACAAATAATAGTGATAATGCGCAGTACTATCCTTTAGTAATTTGAAAAATTAATGATTTAGCATGTTAAATGAATTTAAAAATTTTTACTTAGTAATTGCTGATATAAATTTTAGAACTATCGCAATGATCTTGAAACCATATAGTTTCCATGTTTGGTTGAATTATTGCTAAGATATTGGTAGTCTCAGTATAGTCTAATTCTATTTATTAAATTGAGTAACAAATCTCTTCGAATTCTAGTGTTCGTCATATTATTATGAGTTATTCATAAAAAGACTTAAAATATGATAATAAAATTATTTATTCCATTGTTTTATAATATTTTTAATTTAAGAAAATCAGTATTTGAAGTAAAACTCTTTGAAAAGGTTCTATCCAACATATAATTAAATTAGGGTAAATGAATTTGCATTTATAATTAAAATTATCAATACATCCCAATTATATATAGTTCTTTGATATTAATCAGTTGATTTTACTTATTTTTTCTAAATTTCGATCTTTTAGAATCACATTAGTATATGTCAATAAATATACTAAAAACTTTTAAATTAAAAGTTCTTTTTGATAAAAATTAATCAACCTTGTTTTTGAGATTAATACATAAAATTGTTTATGTTGATATCAATCAATTTAACAAAACAAACGATTTTAGATGATTTCATAACAATAACCATTTACCTATCCTTTAATTTAATTCTAGTGTTGAAATAAATGAATTTACAAAGTGATGGTTTTTTGGACTAAAACAACCACTAATATGTAATTCGTATTATAAAATACCAACAATTTAAAATATTAGAGAATATTAAACCTTTGATATATATTGTTGTTATCTATCTAGTTAATATAATAAAAGTTATTGATGTAAAAATTCTGCCTGATCCTAATTTTATAATGCATATTGGCATTTAAATTAGTATATATATCCCATCCTAAAGCTTTATGCTTATATGGCTCACCATCTGTAATTATTATAACAAATTAAGTCATTTTATAAAGCTGAAGGATATGGAACAGGAGCAGAGAAGTATATTTTGCACTTTTAAAAAAGGATCGTAAAATAAACATTTATCTATTTAATTTAGGAGGATTGGAGGATAAACATATGATTAATTACTCAGGTAAATTTTCAATTTATCTTAATCAAAGACAGTCTTGGGAAGCACTAAAAATTTAAAAAAACAAATGTTTTATCATGGATGGTTTGAGAGAACCAAACTGCGAATGAGTACTACTATAACTGGAATATGATTTCACCTAAATTATTGTGATAGAACACGTAGAACTTATTTAATATCTTTAGTCCATCAAGGATATAAATCTGATCCTGTAGAATACAATAGTGAAAAATTATATTTTAGAGGAGATTAAATAGTTAAATCATGGTTGTCAGATTTAAATGATGAATTATAAAAGGCAGAACTGGTAATAATCTCCGGATGCTCAGAATATCCGCCTATTTCTGGGTTGATTATATAAGATCTAAATTGTCAGCCAACGTGGTTGTTTATGGAGTTCCAGATTCAGGCATTTTCGTTGATATGCCAGCTATGATGGAACAGATATCAAAAGCAATCTCTAAGTTTACTAATGGAATTAGTGAATTCTGAAGTTACTCATCCAAATAGTGAATGTGTTAAGAATAATCAGCAATAGGAATGGAAATGTTATTATGCATAATACTTGTTGGAGTACATAAAAACTCCTGTATTTATTGTTTAATCATTATATGATTATTATAGTTTGAGCTAGTTGTTTAAAGTTGATTGTTCTGATAATTATAATCTAACTTATTGTTCTTAAGATCAATAAGATTTTTCATAAAATCTATATTCAAAAACTTATGATGTTATAAAGAAAAGAAAGAAAAATTTTAAGAAACAGGTGGATTGCCCCTAGTTGTTTAGAACATTGTTTTTTATTTACACCTCGATATGATTCTTCTGATTGGGAAGTACCAGGATTGTCAGGAAACACACTTTCTACACATTAGATAAATGGTTTAATTCTAATTAAAAATACGAAGATAATTTGTACATGGATGGTGTTGAATGGCCAGAAAAAGGTCATAGCTCAAATTCAGAAATTTCAAACTATTAGATTTAAATTTAGATTATTATTATAATAATTATTTCAGTCATTATTAGTTGAGATATCTTCAGGGTATTTTAAATCTTATTATATTTCTAAATAACATTAAACCAAATTATTGCATATATTTTACAAACTATTATTGTTTCAATAAAATTGCAAAATTAATGAATCAAAAGTGTAATTCTTAAATTTCAGACATGACTAATTCTAAAAGTTTAAAATTAACAAAATAATTTAATTTTATTATTCATTTATTTTATATTTTACATATATCATTATTTTATACTTAAGAGAGTCATTTATTAAATTATTTTTAAAATCAAGTTCCATAAATAATAATAGTTCTGCTCAAAATTTCTTAAATTCTAGCGATTGAAGAAATCTACTTGACTCCTAACGAATAATTATACCTTCCAAAAGAAAAGTGTAATTTTATAATCTAATGATACCTATTTGGTAATTTAAATTCAGAAACACCTGAAGTATAATAGCAATTGAAGTAGATCTCAAATGATCTAATAAAAATTGATCAAACTATCAATATTGAAGAAAATGTACATAGTATTATTACTTTTGTTGATCATAATAAGAATTATTAATATATTTGTCTTATAAGATAAGACCTGATTGATTGAAAATTGAAAATTTCTAATTAGTTTATTAATAATAATTTAGTGATGCTTAAAGGGTCTTTTACCTAATTTCAAGCAATCTCTTTTTAGAGAGAGAAAGTATTTAATTTAAAAAGGAATATTTACATCATCATAAGTTAGAAAGACTT